TAAGTGATCCGTTGCCACGAGGAATGGGGAAACATTAACTCTTAGGGAGGAGGATCTAGCTCTTCGGGGGGGAGGGAATTCCTAGTTAAGGAAGGAAGTTTCTGTAGTTATTACCTGTTTAAGGATTGAATCTCTTTTAGTCATGATCCCATTACTAAACAAGTCTATCCTTTCCCGAAGAGGACACGGAAGGAAACAGGGAAGGAGGGAGGGAAGACGACAAGCGCCGGCCGTCGCCCGTCGGGGAGAGTAAGTGACTTTTGGCCTCTCGGGGTGGTTTTCTTCTTCATTTGATCAGCCAGAAAAGTAGAAATAAAATAATACGCGTATTTTTACGTAGAAGTGTTTTAGTGATTAAAAGACGTAAAATTGTCAATTTTTAAAGCTAGTTTAAAAATTGGCAGAGTATGAGGAATGGATAAGTCTGCCCGTGGATCAAGTTATTCATCATTCTTTCACATCGCCCCATATTGTGGCCCTTGTGGGGATACTGAGTTAGTCTGCCTTTGGGATGGGGCTACCTGGCATGGGTCTCACTCGGTCAGAGGAATGGTGCTTATGAACCCAGCTAGTGAGGTCCTATTGGCGAGGGGGGGGGGGGTTCAATTTCCAGGCATGGATGATCCTATGGTCATCGAATTGCTGGTCCTCTGAAAGGTTATTTGCTAATGCCTTTTCCATGGATTCACAACAGTTAGATTTGAGAGTGATGCCAATGTAGTTATTGACAAGATCATTCGATTGCAGACCAGTGACAACCGTGTGGCAGCTATTCTTGAAGAAGTTTTGCAGTATTTTGCCATTTATCCTGGTTTGGGTGTGCGATTTGTAGGTCGGCGTAACAATAGGGTAGCCCACATGGTGGCTAGGAAGGCCCTTTCTTTGTCTCCGACTATGTGTCGTGTTTTTGATTTCTAGACCTGGTTGGTTTCTAGGATGTAACTATCTTTTTCTTGGATTATCTTTTGTAAAAGAAATAAAAAACCAGTTTAAAAAGAAAAAAAAGGCTCGACAGGCTACCAAATAGAGCGCCCTATTACCAACTCGACCAACTAAACTCAGGCGTCACTCGGATAGTGCATGCAACCGACCAACTATTTCTGGAGGAATTATGCCGATCTTATCGTTGTTGTAGAGTAGTCTTTCAATTACTTGCACTTGTCAATCACCGTTTTTGTAAAAGAACATTGATGAGACCTTGCCTTTGCATTCCACAGTGGCGTTCATGAGAGCCACATCCTCCACCACGCGTGTATTTAGGATAGCGATTGCGAAGAATGTCATGGCGACCAACGTTAATTCTAGGGCAACAATTTGTTAGGGATTGAGAATTTTGTGGGCAAAATGTCAAATTACCAAGTTAGGGAGATAAATTTTAAAAAATCTAGGGTGTTAAATAGGAATCCAGTAACGTTAAAGGTATTACAATGTTAAAAATTCAACTTGTACAATATTTAAAAAAAAAAAATCAAATACTGATGCTATAAAGCATTGTAATGCTGAGCTTATTAATTAGTGTCTTTTTTGTTCTTGTTTAGGAAGGAGTCGCCCTGTTGAAGCAGCAATGCTGAGCTTATTAATTTTGGTCGGGAAGATGGATTCAAGAGAGAGCCGTTATCCGTATCATTAATCGACTAGGATTTGGAGATCCCTATTGACTAGGACCAACTCAAGATTCTCTCTTCCTAAACAAGATTTGGCCTTTCCCGAACAGGAAACGGAAGAGAAGGAAAGGCTTGTTTCGTTGTGCTGCTGCAACACTAAACAGGCCTAGGCTCCTAGCCATTCAATTTGGATTGAATAAAAAGCCCATCGGGCCTCGCATTCTTTTTTTTTTGCACACACACGATCTAGGGCCTAAAAAGCCTGCGTAAGTACATGAGGATGCCCATCTCATGCGTAGTAGTCAACAACCGACAAAATAATCTGCTAGATAACAATACAATCCAGTACAATAAGAGCATCCAACGGTGGGAATGGGTTGGATTGCAATCCTAGGTGGCATTGGGATGAAAGTGGAGATATGGGTGACATTGTTGTGGAGACGTTTTCATCATGTGCAAATTTGCACACCATGCAAGTGGTGATGCAATTGAAAGCTGGCCCACTTTTGTACTTTTTTTTTCCTTTTTTTTCCTTCTTCTTTCTAGTTTCTGCAACCAAAAGTTGCATATTTCATTTGTCTTTTCTATTTGTTTTGCATTTATTTTGTTCCATTCATTTCTATCATACATATATGTAATTATACATTTAGTTCATGGTTAATAAGATTAATAATATGATTAAAACTTCAAGATTCACATATATTTCAAGATAATACATCCATACAGTACAAATCGAAAAGAAAAATACACTACACACATCAAGACAACTATTGCATGATTAATTAAAATTAAAACAGATACAAAGCATTAAACATTTTAATTTGAGTCGAGGCATTAAAATATTTTAGTAAAATGATGTAAGTAATATGAATATAGAATTGTAGTAAAATTAAGTAGGACCCACGATGCAATTGCATGTGAATGGCATTGATGTATAAGGTATGAAAGTGAGGAGTGAGGTAGTTGTTAAAGTTGTTGAAGTGACAGTAGGGACCACACTTGAAATTGCATAAGAATTGCATTGTTGAGGATGGTCTAAGTACTTTGGAAGTAAATCAGGCTGTTGTCCTATCCATTTGTCATATAATCATTCCGATTAAATCTAATTGGGTTATAGATATAATATGCCCCTCTATTATGTGGTTTTATCAAACATGTCCTATTATTTTTCATATCAAATATGTCCTTGTACTTTGGAAAAGTTATCAAACATGTCTTTCTGTTAAAATTTTCATTGAAAAAATTGTCAATCATGGTTGAACTGAGATTTAGACGACCTTTACATCGACAAATGAGTGGGAAAATATCAGTTTTGTCCCCTGTTTTATTTCTTTGGGTCTCATCATAGTGAAACTATTAGAATTATTTGGCTATACAAAAGGACCAAAAAATTATAAAGTGAAATTATTAGGGATATTTTAGACATTTGTGTCACCCAAACCAAAGTTCGACCGTGGTTAACGATTTTTAGATGAAAATTTTAACAGAAGGGCATGTTTGATAAATTCCTTGTACTTTGGAAAAGTTATCAAACATGCCTTTCTGTTAAAATTTTCATTGAAAAAATTGTCAATCATGGTTGAACTGAGATTTAGACGACCTTGCATCGATAAATGAGTGAGAAAATATCAGTTTTGTCCCCTGTTTTATTTCTTTGGGTCTCATCATAGTGAAACTATTAGAATTATTTGGCTATACAAAAGGACCAAAAAATTATAAAGTGAAATTATTAGGGATATTTTAGACATTTATGTCACCCAAACCAAAGTTCGACCGTGGCTAACGATTTTTAGATGAAAATTTTAACAGAAGGGCATGTTTGATAAATTTTTCAAAGTACAATGGCATGTTCGATATAAAAAAAATGTGCATGTTTGATAAAATGACATAATAGAGAGGCATAATATACCTATAACCCAATCCAATTTATCGATTCTATGAGGGTAATAATATCATCCTTAGCCAAAATTAAACGAAACATCTCTCTTCTTTTGAATTTTGTTTTCATATTCTTTTCTCAATTAATCTCAACAACTGAAATGATTAAAATCTGTACAAACATGTTATAATGTATTCTTTAATCTGCCGGGGATTGTGAGGGGTCCGAAAATAAAATTTTCTTACCCATTTGCGAGGAACCAAAGACTTGACTTTTATAAACGGATACAATCGTTGAAGATTATTGATTCTTTTTCGTCTCAAACCTATTTTACAAATCTTCCTAAAAACAGTTATTTCGACGGTTTACGGGATGTTGATTTGAGAAAATTTAATAATTTTCTCGCTTAACAAGCTCTTTGGTTGACCATCCATACATATGTAAACTAAAAAGTCTACAAAAAATAAATCTATGTCCTGTCAATTTTCATAATCAATATAATTTCATAATGTTCATTACTTGTCGGATTAGATGACACAAGCTTATCAACATTGCGAAAGAGACAAATGGGCGAAAAGGTCTAAAACTCCTTCCTAGCTAAGCGGACAAAGAAAAGGACATAGGTAAATAGTAAATGGTACACATTAAAAGTAGGGGTTTTGAAAGTCAAGCAGTAAATAATAATTACTGTCCCAACGGGAAAAATGTCATGTACTTAAAAAGCTGTGGGGAAGAAGGAGAAGCAGCTTGCGTGCATCACAATTCACAATTCACTGTACTCCTTTCTTCACCAATGATCGCAGAACAAATAATTGAGCTCCTTTCTTCACAAACCTCTTTTGTATTTCTTCTTGGCTTTGTTCCTCCAAATCTTTCTCCTTTCAAGGCCCTCTTCAATGGCATCCATTTCCTTCCAAAACTCACCACCACCTCTCCTCTAACTCAGCCACTTCTTCATCACCTTCTTGGCATGTGTAGTTGATTGTGATTTAGGATTAGCTATTTGATAAAGAGTGATTGAAGTGTTGATCAGTGTTACTTGGGTTTTAAGGTTAGGTTGGAGTCTTTGGAGATGGGAGGATGATATATGGGTGCCTGGCTCCCTGGATGCCAACTAAGGAACTTTGTCGATATTGGGTCGACTCTTTCTTCGTTGGCATCAGCGAGTCAAGCATGCAAAGTCTCTTTCTCATCTCTTTCAACAACATTATTTCATGACATGTTTTAAGTTCCATTCACGATTAAAAAGAATTGAAAGAAATGAGTTTTTAACGAAATTTTTGTCTGGAAATCTCACGTACAACTTTTGGTTGGCGATGTTGGTGGATGGAATTGTTGCTTTTTCCCCGATTAATTTATGTGTATTGGTCTCCTCGTTCATGATTTACAATTTCTAATTCAGGATAATTACTAAAGGTGAAATCTTTACTGAAAATTAAGCATATTGGATCTTTGCATGGTGTTAAATTGAGGGGTAAGTTTCAGGAAGTGTTATTCTCTATAATCTGAATCTGTTAGTGTGTTTCAGTTAATCCATCAGGCCAGGTAACTATTTGCATCAAGGGTTCATCTACAAAGCCAAAGAATGTCGAGATGATAAACTCAAAGGTATGTGTTCTTACTCATATTTACCAATTATCATATTGCCCACCATTATTAGCTAATATTGTGCTTCAGAATTCAAACTACTAGAGATATAAAAATCTCCGACCGCCGTCCGATCAGTCCGACGACAACCCTTTTTTGGTCTCTCGGCGCATTTCCATGAAGAATCCAGAATCCGATGTGCACACTAGACATATTAATCCAGAGATGGGAATGTGTCGAATTCTTCAGCAGAGTACTCTGTTTTTTCTTCTTTCCTGGTGAATTTTGTACACTCTGTTTCTACATGATGGCGCAAGAAGGGTCATTGTCGTTGTAATAGTGCCCGCCGGCGGCGGAGCTCGTTTGGTAGACGTAGTGATGAGGCGGGCCAGCAGCGTACCCGTAGGACCATACGACGGGCGCCGGCGGCGGTTTGGAATCTTCCTCCGTCTTCTTCTTGTCCTCCTCCTTCTTCTTCTCTTCCACGGGGCCGACGCTGACCAGTTCGGCGAATCCAACTTTGCTTCGGAGCAGAGTGACGAGGGACACCGAGTCGATTCCATCGCCGGTGACCTCGATTTGGGTCTTTTCCGGCCCGGCCAAGGCCGCCGAGTCGACGCCGTGGACGCCGACGACAATCGTCATCGCCTTGGATCGTGACTTTTCCTTGCTCATTGAGACCTTGATCACTAACTTTTGCTGTTGGAATCAAAAGAAAAATGTTAGTTAAGTCACAAAATTTCTAATTTTGTATCATTATTTTGAAGTGGCAAACAGATAATTAGTTTGAGTAGATTTTGATTGTAAGAATTCTATAAATAAATTACTAATCACTAATCAATAATAAACAATAAAATTATTTTTGTAATCAAGATTCAATATAAGATATGAGTTCGACTGAATGTTTGTACCTTCATGATGGCGATGCAGATAAGAACGGAGCTAATAGAGTTTGAGTTATGAATTTGTGAGAGGGTGAGTAGAGTAGAATGGGAAACAAAAAGAAATGGGAAAGGTAGCTTTGAAGTTTGATTCTTGATGGGGGATTGGTGTTTGTGATTTGAAGATGGGGGGTATTTATATCCATGCAAAGATGCAAAATCCAAGAGAGGTTCGGCGGGGGAGTGTTTGGGTGCTTGGAAAATGCCTGTACATTTTCCGGGCAGTTGCAAAGAATTTCCGAGGAATGTTCTTTGGGCCCACTATCAGTCTAGCCCACCACTGAACGTTAAATCAACAAGTAAGGGGCCCAATAGACAGAGTCGTGAGTCGAGATTAATAGAGACGAAGAAAGGCAACGGAATAAATCAACGGGTCGGGTGGGTCTTGGGGTTTTGGAGTCTTAGCAAATTGGGTACGACTAGGGCTGGCAGTTCGGTTTCCGGTTAGCGGATAATCGGCGGTTACAACCGAACCGACCGGTTTTCGGCTAACCGAAAACCGAGACTAAAATTACTTCGGTCGGTGGACGGAGGGAATAACACAGCTTCGGATAACCGAGTAACCGACCATTACTAACCGCGGTTATCCGAAAAAACCGAACCAAACCGACAACCCCTCATATATTGCCCTCCCTGCAAAAAAAATTACATATAAAACCCATAACCCCAAACTGAAACCCTAGATTCCTCTCATCAAACCCTCACCCTTACGATTCACGGCCGCCGCCCAGCTCCCTTCCTTGTCGACTCACGGCCGCCGCCTTCCTCCGTTCCTCGCCGCCTTCCTGATCCTTCCTCGTCGGCCGTGACCCGTCCAGATGCCTTCCTCGCCGCCTCGCCTCGCGCAGCCGCCTCGCCTCGCGCAGCCGCCTCGCCCAGATCTCGTCCTCATCGCAGCCGCCTCGCCCAGATCTCGTCTTCATCGCCTCGCCGTCGCCGTCGCCGTCCCCGAGCAGAGAACCGCGTCCATCGGCCGTCCCCGAGCAGAAGGAAAAGAAGAGTGAGAGAGGAGAGAAGAAAGGTCTTGGAGATGGAGGGTTAGGAGGCAAAGGAGAGAGAGGGGAGAAGAAAAGACTTCGGTGGTGCTTTTCCTCCTTTTGGGTGAGGAGAGAAGAAGAAGATAAGGTGGGTCTGAATGTGTGGTGGCCAACTTTTCTTCAATTTTTTTTTTTGGTATTCAATTCGGCTAACCGCGGTTTTGACCGATAACCGACCGGTCGGTTAGGCGGTAACCGTGTGAATCGCGTCGGTCGGTGGTCGGTAGTGCTAGAGGGTCGCTCGGTTTAACCGAAAACCGGCTTTTCGGTTTTCGGTTAAACCGAAACCGACCGACTGACAGCCCTAGGTACGACGCGTCGCTAAAAAGTATAGAATCCAAATTTCTACTCCGACTATTTGGACAAAACGGCAGCTTGGAATATCCTTCCAGAAGGGTTTCTTTGGCTGCGAGGAGATCTGGTGACAAAACATACAACCGGGCTTTTTAATTAATGTAGGGGTAGTTTGGTATTATGAAAAATTACGAAGAATAAAAACCGAACTTACAAACAATACAAATAATACAAACATTACAAACTATAACGACAAAACATACAAACAATACAAACTAGACCGACAAACAATACAAACTATACAAAATGAATAAACAACCGGGTTGACTTTGGAGGCTTCATCCCTATATAGAGGGGCTTGTCCCAAAGTTAACCCGGTTGTTTTTAGACATACAAACATTACAAACATGCTGGACAAAAATTACAAACTAGACCGACAAACCATACAAAATGGAAAAACAACCGGGTTGACTTTGGAGGCTCCATCTCTATATAGAGGAGTTTCATCCAAAAGTCAACCAGGTTGATTTTTAAACATAAAAAACATTACAAACATGGTTGATAAAAATGACAAACATGGTGCACAAAAATAACAAAACTTACAAACATTATAGAATAAACCGACAAACATTGCAAAGCATACTAACATTACAAAATAACACTACTTACAATACAAATCGATAAAATTGTATTGCAAATCAATGAATACAAAGTATACAAATCATAACATAAAGTATACAAACTACACAAACAAATATTATAAAACAAATTATATACAAATTAGTCATATAAACATTACAAACAAAATAGAAAAAAATAACAAAAAAAAAAAAATAACAAACTAGAATGATAAACGATACAAACAAAATAAATATAAACATTACAAACCAGACTTATAAACATTATAAAATATGTCCACAAACATTACAAAATGCAGGCCCGCCGGAAAATTCACTCCGTTGAGGGAAACTCTCTCTCTCGACGATATGATTTTTTATTTTACTTTAATTGTTAAATAAATAAATAAATAAATATATAATTACCACCTTACCCTTCATTAAACTAGATAAATCTAAACCGTTAAATTTTATTGAAGTTCACCAACTGAGATTGATTTAATCATGTGACTAAGATACCCTTAGTTACCTGATCTTAGGCCCTTTGGCTATTTGTGGGCAGACGCGGTTCCACCCTGCTATTATGCTCAGCTCACATAGCTTAATAGCTAAGATGAAAACGTACTCACATCATAGAATAAAAGGACTCAAATTTTGGGACTGGAGTCGTATCAAGGTTGACATTCACTATATTTAGGATTTTACGTCCTAGCTAGTGTTATTCACTTACACTATATTCCCACGGAAAAGTAGGTTACTGATTTGCTTACCAAGTCCTTTACTACGTACGAATTAACATGGGTTTCTTTCTAGCAAATTGATACTACGTGACAGACATCAATTTATGGGAGTATCATGCCATTTCTGCATTTTATATCAGCTCATGTTTGTGTAGGTCTAGGGTAGGGTGTAGGTGTATAACTCTTGATAAGCTTGTTAATCGGTTATTTTGTTAGCGGTGTTACGGATAACCAAATAGGTAACTGGTGGTTAGCGGCTACACCGATAAATGATTATACAATATTATCGATAGATAAATTTTTCTAATTATTAGTAACTGATGGTTAAACAGTTAGTAACCGATAGCTAAACAATTAAAGAGACTTATCGGTTAGGGCCCTCCTCACCGTTAGGTCGAATAAATCGCTCACTACCATACTCGTAATAGTGGCTTAGGATTAGATGATAAATTTTTCAGGGAAGGGCTAGCTTCAGAAGGAGTAGATGATAAATAGCTCACTACCATACTCGTAACCGAACCAGACCGACTAACAACCCTAACCCTTGGTTATGCAGTTATGCATAACCAAATATGACCCATTGATTTTGATTTTTGAGTGAGTCTGGATCTAATGGATGATATTAAAAGACTTTTTATGTTCCATAATCTTTTAATATGTTAGTATATTCTTTATTTAACCTGTAAGTTAATTTTTTTCATAGACGAAACAAGTTCATTGTGATATATAAAATGATGTACGTTACGATATGTTTCGAGAAATTTTTGTGTGACTCGTTACCACATACTACATACCACCTTCATTTCTGACCCATTTTTTGCACATAAGGAGCGGTTTCATCGTGAAAACGTGAACTATAAAATTTTGAAACAAAAATTCAGAACTAAATATACCACGTTGATACATGATGGTAAGTAAATGGTAGTAGGCGGTGTTAAAAGGTGGTAAATGATGATTATTATATTTCTGTTACCATTGTACAATCATTATACACTTATTTATCCATATCAATATGGTACACTTCCATACCACTATGACATTATCTCATTTGTTAGCAAGTGTTACCACCATGGTATAGATAGATAATATATCCCGATCGACTGCTTTTGTTTCAAAATGTATGAAAGTGGATGCTATTTTGAAGAACATAATTAATATAATTTTTTCGGTGTCAAAATATCACTACAAGAAAACCAGCCCATAGAGACAAATAATTAGAGGCAATTGTTGTAGTGGTCTCTATAGCTAAGTTTTAGGGGCAAATATATTATTTGTCTCAGTAGGTAAAATTATTTGTCTCTATAGGCAAATCTAATAGTCTTTAGAGACAAATACAAATGTTGCTTATAATTATGTCATATAGAGACAAATTTAATAGTCTTCAGATGCAAATATAAATGCTCCTTATACTTTTATAATATAGACGCAAATCTTATAGTATTTAGAGACAAATACAAATGTCTTTTATAATTATGTGATATGAAGACAAATCTAATAATCTTTAGAGACAAATACAAATGTCACTTATAGTTCTGTCATATGAAAGAAAATTTTTACAGTCTTTAGAAACAATTATAAAATTTACTTATACTCATATAATATATTTACTATTTAGAGACAAATACATATGCTCCTAAAACACTAATTTGAATTGATTGTGTGTAGGTTTAAGTAATGGAGGAAAAAAAAAGATCATTGATGTCCATTAAATTAAACAGGAAATGGTTAATATGAGCTTATGAGCCCAAGGTAGTCTATGTAATGGTCCATTTCCATGCAAGATATTATAAGTGTTACCATAGAGGATAATGATAAGGTAAAAAATAAAGAATATACAGATTTACTATTCACTAATTTAATGTTTGTTAGTTATAATCCATGAATATAAGATATTAGTTTCATTATACTTAATAAAATACAAGTTACATAGATTGAGAAGATATATATATTAATATCACACCTTCTCTAGACTGAAAAAAAAAGGTAAGAAGCCATGCGCAAGCGCAAACTTGTAAAACAAATGTTTATTAGTCCATACACCGTGAATCGGAGGGCTTTATCTCCAAAACCTGATCGGGAGCCACCTTGCGACCCAAAAGAGCAAAACCCCATAACTTACCGTCGATAACTGTGTGGAAGTCCCAGAGAATTATCACATACACATTCTTAAGACGTTGAGATTCAACTAAAAGCTTTTGTCTTGCTCGTGTTTGATTTCATTGCTTTACATGCCTCAAATTTCAACCTACTACCGATATCAAAATCTCAATGACGACGCCCCCTATGAGAAATTCACAATTCGATATATGTACACTACACACATTAATTCCAAAGATAAGGGTAATTGTTATTGTAATAGTACCCGCCGGCGGCAGGGTTCATTTGGTAGACGTGGTGCGGCGGGCCACCGGCGTACTC